GGAACACCTGATTCCAATAATTTGGATGGGTGAGCAAATACTTTTGGCAATATAGTGTATATATATATATATTGTAATGTATGTATGTATTATAATAGTCATGGCATTCAATTCATGGCATTAAATTATTTCTAAGAGCATTTAAAGAGCATCAAAAAAGCATTACATTAGAGTTACTCATTCCTGTATAAAGCTACACACGTAAGAAGAGAAACCTAGTAGTATATATCTGACAGACAAGCAGTTATAGTCTAGTTGTAAACTGGTGCTATTATTAACGGGGTAGTTTGAAGTGAGAGCAAACTGTTTAAATAATGAGAAAAAGGAAAATGTCATTTATGTTCAAATTTGAGACTTAAACTTAAAAAAATATAACAAATAGCCTAATAATGAAATGGTAATAGAAGTGACTGCTAAACTGCATCCCAAATTATCTTTCAGGTGGAGGATAACATCAAGAAAAATGAAGATGGGAGCCCGAACGTTCGGTATGTTGAGTCTATTCATATAGATTATGTTGGTTTTCAATACATTTAAAGAAATGGTGTCTGTCTGGACCTCAAATTCAGATCAGCTAATTGAGTTTCTAATGAGTCTCCTGCTTTAAATTTAACAGCTTCCTAAACACACAGACAGAAGCCATAAACATCACTGTGGGAGAAACTGAGTTTTATGTGCCATCTGACTACGGTATCATAAACAAGAGTGTGGATCAGGGAAGGTAAGTATGCTTAAAGGGACAGTTTAAAACGGAAGCAGGATCCCAGCGCCACAGTAGTGGTCCCCTTAGTAGTGGTCCCCTTATGCCTTATTTAAAATTAATGTTTTCATAGATTTTCAGACTTTTTTTTCTTTTCTTTCTAAAATGATTACCTTTCTTTGCAGTTACGAAGCAGTTGGCTGCAGCCTCGGGTTGACCGAATGTGAAAACCTCAACCTGGGCCTGCTGGACTTTGGAGCTTCTTATACTTTCATCCTCTTGCAGGTTAACCTTTTTATGATTAAATAAGTAGTCATTGGACTGAGCGAAACTTTAATGGATGATTTTTGTAAAACTGCTGAAAATGATTTTAGCCGGTTCTGATTCTTTTGGTGGCACTGATGTAAAAAGATATAGGAGTTATAAAAAGCGTTCAATACATCATTTTTCTACTGATCCTTGTCATGAATTTTCTTAAGTATGAGTAATAATGATGTGATGCTGCTGTGTGGCAAACAGTTAGTATAGACTAAAATCCATTAAACAGCCCATTGCAAGTTTAGCCCAAGTTTTCACTCATTTACTTGAGTAACTGTTAAAAAAAATCAGTATTTTCAGTAGTAGTTTCACTATGCCATACTTTTTACTTATACTTAAGTAATGCTATCATAACTTATACCTACTTTTAACTGAAAAAAATATTTGGCTTCTTGACCTACTGTGAGTAACTTTACTAAATAAATAAAAAGCAAATTTGAAAAAGTGCTGATCCAGACATACTTCCTATTTTAGAGAATATTTCCTGTCCAGGAAAGAAACAAGCAGAAAAGCTCCTACAGTAGCCTGTTTTTATGTCAAAAGGGATGAAAGAGAGCAGATATAGTTAGTAACAGTAAAAGCTTAGCCTATAGTTATGTCTGGGAGAGAAACGGGACTAATGGCTAAAAACAGGCCCAACTCTATCATCTATAATTGAAGTCAAGGCAGCAGCCCATGTGATGACTCTCTACATGATGGTGATGGAAAGGGGTCGCTATGTTCTCCAGCAGTCTAAGCCTATAGCAGCATAACTGTACAGATAGTTCAGTATATTCCGAGTCACTAACTACTGTATTAGCTCCTCACGGACTAAAACTGGCAGCTGGTTCCACAGGAGGGGAGTCTGATAACTAAAAGATCTGCTTCCCATTCTACTTTTAGATACTCTAGGAACCACTAGTAAACCTGCAGATTGAGGGCAAAGTGCTCTGTTAGGAACATAGAGAACAATGAGATCTCTGATATTAGCTTGTTTTTTAGGGCTTTATACATGAGGATTTTAAAATATGTTCTGTGTTTAATTGGAAACGAATGAAAGGAAGCTAAAGTAAGAGAAATATGATATTTTATTAACTGTTATCAGAACTCTGGATGCAGTATGTTGGATCAACTGAAGGCTTTTAACTACAGTCTGTTGACCTCCTGATAGTAAAATCTGCATGGATCTCTTTTTCAGAGTAATCAGGCCTACCTAACAAAATATTTCACATTTCTTGCAATAATCATGAAATATAGAAGGAAATTCTAGAAACTTGTTTAATGTGGGATTTACATTAAATGAAACGCCCTGATAACATCTTTACTTTGTTCGGTCAATATGAAGTCTTCTTTTTCAAATACCAATAATGATCCAAATACACTAACTTCTGCCTTGTCTGAATAAGAAAGCAGAATATTTAAGCCCATCCAAGTTTTCATGTTATTTAGGACGAGCATGGACTCTATCTAATAGGTTAGTTTAATCAGGATTTATGGACAAATATAGCTTGTTATCACAAGCACAACGGTGTAACTGAAACCTGGGCACTCTGATCATTTTTGCAGGATACTAAGATCTGAGTGATGGAAAACTGGATTTGAATTCCTTCTTTGCAAACAAAACTTGCCAGATAAAAACCTTGATTCTGATTTGTTGCCTTTATGATAATATTTTCTACACAGCATGACAGATGTCTCTCTTTGCCTTGTCAGGAATCTGGTAAAATTGTGGCCAATAAGATGGTGGATGTGAGAGAAAACAACGTGCACATCGCCTGGCAGATCCCCCAGTATGCCCTCATCACCGCAGGAGAGGTCATGTTCTCCATCACAGGCTTGGAGTTCTCCTACTCACAGGTTTGCATGAAACTCTTAAAACAGCGTATTGAATTTTCTTTCACATTAACTGTGTTGCACAACATATCTGGCCTTTAACCTTTATAGGGCACTCAGGGAAATATTTAGAAAATCTAAATTTCAAGCCGATAGTGTTATGAGAATCCAGGAAAAGACCTTATTACCTTTTGTA